ATGTTGTAAAATTCTCTCATCCCATCTTCGCCAGCAATCTGCGCTCGGACAACATTACCGGCTGCATACTGGAAAATTAGCAGTGTTGAGGAAGTAAAATACGGAGTGGTTAAAATTAGCAGTAAATTAGCCAGCAATATGCACTTTTAATGGACACCCATCAATGGTTAGGAAAAAATAAAATACGGAGTAAACTAGAAGACACCATTGATGTCATTTTTTGTCATACCAGATCTGTCATACCGACACCCATCTAGGCTTTCGTATTTGAACCTTAAGGCGTTAAAATCAACACCAGATCTGTTTACTGAGAATGTTTTCAAGCTCTATTGAAAAGAAGAAAATCCGTGTTTTGTCAGCCCTACTGAAGCTTCGCCGACCCTGAGAAAGAGGAAGGCTTGAAGAGAAGATAATTTGCTGGGGTGAGGAAGAACCGAAGATGAGTTTTTGTTGGAGGTGGGGAAGAAGAGTTTGGAGAGGCAGGTCGGCGGCAATCCATTAAAATCTGAGGGGTGAGGGCGAGAAAACGTATGGAATGAATTAGCCTTATTTTCCCATTTCAATTCCATTAAAATCCATTCAAATCCAAATGAAAGAAATCCATGGAATAATTGGGGACACCCAGATTTTAAAGGATTTTATAAAATCCAAGTTGAGGACACCCGGATTTTGATAGACTTCTAAATTCTATTAAAATCCATCAGAATCCATGTTGGGGACACCCCTGTAAATCTTTTTGTAGAAGAAAAGGTGATTGTGATTTTCCGGAGAATTCCTTCATAGTTGAATGCAAACACACACCTCGAGAGTTTCCATGTTTTACATAAAAAATTAAATAAAAAATCATTTTCACTTTTTATGCAATGCAGTGTTGGTTTCGTATTGATTACTATGTATATCTACACTGTTGTTTTTGTTTTCATTATTTTTATTGTTATTATTATTATTTTGTATTTGGTGTATGTTGAAGAATTCAATTCTTAATTTCCCTGAAGTTTCCTCCATGTGCAAGAATGACAAAGGGAGCTTCCATACACCTAGGAGTGACCTTCCTTCCAACCACCATTGAAGCTTCCTTCCACCTTCATACTACCTTGTTTTGGTGCTATAAATAGAGAGCTTGGAGAGTCTTTCTATCATCAAGTAAATTAGAATAGATCATCATAGCACAACCAAGAAGAGTTGTGAATATCCTTGAGAGATATGTGAGGTGTTGTTTTTGAGAGTTTTAGTTAGAGCTTGTATGTCTCTTCTTTCTATTCTTGAAAGTAATAGAAGTGTTTTTCTCTCATATTAGCACAATCCTGTTATTCCCAACAAGTGGTATCAGAGCCTGGTTGAGCTTTTGATATTTTTCCCAAATTTTTTAAGATAAAATTCTACTGTCTGAAAAATCGAGTTTTTCAGTATTGCTCGGAATTGCAAGCTGAATAGACCGTTGGATTCGTCTCGTCGAGACGAGAAAACTGGTATTTTTGGGGAATTTTTTGGCCACCGGAAGCTGCCGTACGCGCCGCCAAACGCCGGCCAAAAACTGTCTGCGTCATTGCTGACGTCATCACGCGCAGTCCAGAGTAGAAGACGGCTGACGTTATCGCTGACGTCATCAGCCAGTCAGAGCTGCGTCAGCGACACGTCAGCAACACATGTGCAGTCCCAGCACAGTCAGCCGCCACGTCATCAGTCAACTGCCATCTTTCACCTGCGTCCAATCAGCTGCCACGTCAGCGCCCAGTCTGTAACACCGTCCCCAAATATATTTACTTTTATGTAAATAATGTATCGAACCTTATTAAAGGATTAATGAATTTACGAAGTTGTAAATTTTTATTATTTCTTTCGCGTGAATAGAAAATTGAACGTGGGACCCACACCGGGAGTGGGGGCCGCCCGACATTCCCGAGACCATATATTTTATTCATCTTGGTCTAGATAATAAATATATAGTGGGGGATATTTCATTTGGGCCATGGAAAGGCCCAGAGTTGACCGATTGGTCAAAAGAAGCCCAAATTACCGGTACTGGTAATTTAACGGATAACAGTCCGAAAATGAATTTCGAAGACTTCCAAATTAAAGTTTTGGAATATATATTATTTCAAAGGGGCGTTATGATTGAGAACACATAATATATTTTATTTTTCCCGATAAAATAAAATATGATTAAAACAGTCCGAAAAATACAACTTTCGGGACCGATTGTACACACCGGGACACAAAGGGATGACCTCCCACATGAGTGGGGGCCACCCCACGTTTTTATATTCTCAAATTGACTAGATGAGGGCTGGTAGTACACTTGATGGGAGGGTGAGACAATTGGAGACATCAAAGGGGTCCCTCCCACCCTTATTAGCTCAATGGGACAAAAAGAACCCATCCCCCTCTTCCTTCATGATTGTACTCGACCAAAGCACCAAGGAGAGGCAAGAGAGAGCTCTCAAACCAGCTTCCATTGTTGCAGCACGAGCCCAAGGAAAAAGGGGTCCAAAGGAGAGGATTAAAGAGGGAAAAAGTGGGGAAAAGTGTGAATAATTAAGGTAATGACCTTATTATAACTTCTCCTTTATTTTTCTTCTACCATATGAGATATATATCATGTGAAGAATCCTTGAGAGGGTTCTACATGTTATAAGTATGGATTAATGGGTTGGAAAGTGATTCTATGTCCAAGAACGGACTTAGAAGCCAAAACGACCGGTTCACCGGAAAATAACCGTTTTGAGGTTATTTGTATTAATACGGGTTTTATGATTATAAAACCTTGTTAGGAACTTGTGAAAGGTATTTCAAGTGATTTCACAAAGTTGGTAAAGTCGCCGGAGTTGTCGCCGGAGTTGACCGAAAGTCGCCGGAGTTTCACCGGAGTTCAACCAAGAGGGGTAGAACTTCATAACGCTAGTTCAAGGTGAGTGGACGGCTTAATATCTTATAACGTTTGGGTTAATTATGAGATTACCTAAATAAATGTTATATGATTTCATAATGATGTTTAAAAGATATTTAAACATGTGATTAGCCAATAGGGTTAAGTTTGTATGAAAGAAATTAATTGTTGATGCATGGAATATGATATGAAGAATTATATGAAATGCATATTTGTTTGAAGTGTATTAGAAGCACAAATGAATATTATTAACTTAATTATATGATGATTAAGTTGATACACACAAGGCATGAAATGGCGGTCAACGAAAACGTGGACCGAAGAACAAAGGATTTAATTAATACCGGTTGGTATTAATTAATTATAAATCTATATAAATGCATGGTTTTGCATGGATTGTGATACATAAGATTTATGTATTGGATTAGTTATGAGTAACTAAGGATGATATAGACTCTATCTAGGTTGATAGGAGGTTGATCGTAGGAAAACTTGGTGGGGGACCCTAGTACTTAAAAAGTACTTAACACTCAAAATTTGGTGGAGGACCCTAGTACTTAAAAAGTACTTAACACTCAAACTTGGTGGAGGACCCTAGGACTTAAAGTCCTTAACACTCAAACTTGGTGGAGGACCCTAGTACTTAAAAGTACTTAACACTCAAAACTTGGTGGAGGACCCTAGGACTTAAAAGTCCTTAACACTCAAACTTGGTGGAGGACCCTAGTACTTAAAAGTACTTAACACTCAAAACTTGGTGGAGGACCCTAGGACTTATGAGTCCTTAACACTCACAAACCGGTGGAGTATCCAAGGATTATGATCCTAAAACTCATACATTGTGATATACAAGTAGGGACAAGGAGGAGTCCTATACACTCATAGGTATATGGGTGGGTTGGGGTTTTTAGTCAAGAATATTGACTATTACTATTTTTCCCAAATAAAATGGTGATCTATGGATCGTATATTTTCCAAGTATACATATACTAATAAGTATTTCATAACTTGGGGAAAGGACTATTTACTTAAGTATCACCCTATGTTTGGGTCTTATACTTGAAACGCTAGTTATTCTATATTTAGCCTGCTACTCGCTCGGTACTTGTACTGACCCCTTCGGGGGGCCCCACCATTTTCAGGTTGAAGCTAGGGCTTGCTACTTGCACCTTCTCAAGGGTGATATCAAATCAGGAAGACGTGGTTCGTGCTTCCTTATTTTCTTTCAAACTACCGAACACTTGCTCATGAATATTTGTTTTACTATAAACTATTTTTGGGGCTTGCATGCCCATGTTGTTGGCCGGTTGTGGCTCATGACGTACCGTTGAATATTTCCGCTATTCATTGGTTTGAATGTGATGTTGTTATGTATGTTTACTACTGAGTATGGATGGATTGTTTTTCTCGAACGCCTTGTGTAATTAAGTGAGGTTGACTCGTGGGTGACATCACTTAGTTATATGGCGGTTGTACACGCGCTTGGATTGCGGTCTGGGGCGTGACAATTAAGTGGTATCAAAGCCATCTTAGTTCTAAACATTATAATCAACCTCTCACAAAAGATTTTACAAAAGAGTTTTCTTACCGAAAACCATGAGCATTGTATTTTGACGTTTATAGGACTATTGGTGCTTAAGTTGCAAGGCCTCTAATTGTTAAGACGGTACCCTTAACAATTGGTATGGAAGTGACTTGGGCCAATACGTGTCTGTAACGTTCTTCCGTCAGTTGACATTTATAGGAGTCTAATGACTCATCCATATTTCTTTCAGAAGTGGAAGGCAGGCGAATGAGGACCAGGAACAATCCGAGGGGGCAGGCACCGGTAGCATCCCAAAGGGGAAGCCGGGCCGCATCTCGGGGTTCGAGAGGAGGCCGTGGAGGCCGTGGAAGCCGTGGAGGTCATCAAGCTCAAACTGTGAGTGATGGCCATGTGAGCTCGGTGTATGAAACCAACACCGAAGACTATGACTCAACCTACGTTCCAGAGACGGAGCATGAAGAGACCCCGTATGATGGGGGTGATACATACACCGATGATGATGATGAAGAGAGTGATGCCAAGTTCGCCCAAATGGGCGAATTGCTTGAGTGGTATCAAAAAGAAAAACTGAGGAGAGACCTTAGGCGCCAAGCGAGGCGTGGCTCTCGTGGAGGTTCGGGTCAAGGAAGCCGGGGAGCTTCCGTGGCCACCCCAGCGGCGTCACAAGGTGGGCGTGAAGGAGGTTTTGTTGTGAGAATCTCCAAGTACCTCAAGGAGGCTAGGGCCTTGGGGTGTAGGTCCTTTGACGGCACCGGTGACATTACCGTTGCCGCCGATTGGATTAAGAAGGTGAAGGATGCATCAAGGGACATGCAAATCACACCGGACGTGAAGTTGACTGTCGCTTCACGGCTACTTGAAGGGATAGCTTCTACGTGGTGGGAGAGCGTGGAAGGGAAGTACCACGGGGAAATAACATGGGCGGACTTTGAGCTAGAGTTCTATGCTCAATACTACTCCGAGTACGAGGTGAATGTGAAACGGAGAGAGTACACTAACCTTAAACAGAAAGAGGGCGGCACAGTTAAGCAGCTGGAACAAGAGTTTAGAACCTTGGCTAGGTTCTTACCAGAGTACGCGGTTGATGAGAACCGTATGACGGAGCACTTTTGGGATGCCTTACTCTTGGACATCCGCGATCGGGCTACATACTCGCGCCACATGACCTTTAGCGAGGTGGTGGAGCAGGGCCTTCTTGGGGAGGCCCAATGGAATGAAAGAAAAGAGAGGGACGCCGAAGAGGCGAAAAAGAGGAAATGGCATGGTTCGGGGCCGCCCGAGCAGGCACGGAGGGATAAACACGGCGGAGGTGGGGGTTCGTTCAAAACACCGGCACCACCGGCAAAGAAGAACATGGATGCTCGGTGGCATGCATCCTCCTCCCAAAAGACGGGACCCCCTAGGTGTGCTAATTGTTCGAAAAATCACTTTGGGAAATGCAACGCACCCCCGAGGTGTTATCAATGTGGGAACACGGGTCACATGAAGGCCAATTGCCCACAACTAGGGGGAGGAGGAGCTCCGGGATCCGGAGGAGGAACCACGACGGGAAGGAACCGTGCGGGGCCGTCAAACGGCGGCACGGGAAGAGGCGGCGCATCCACAAGCCATGCCGCGTCCGTAAATCAAGGCGGGACCCAAGCACGAGTGTACGCAATGACCGAGGCGGATGCGCGAGCAAACCCGGACTCCGTTGCGGGTAATACACTTATTTTCCTGTATTTCTAGGCTTATTTGGGTCATATAAGTCATTGGGTTTGGGTGCGGGCCACCCCGGGGTCAAACCCCGCGAATTTGGGGCGAAACGGGCTAAAAACAACTACGCGCGATCGCGCGTACCTACAGACGCACGACCGTGCGTGCGAGGCAGTAGCCTCTGGTCATTTTCCGCGCAGACGCACGCCGTGCGTGCAGGTAAGGCACGCCGTGCGTGGGACGCACGATCGTGCGTGACCAGCTACGCACGATCGTGCGTAGCCGGCAGTGGCGGATTCCGAATTTCTCACGCACGCACGACCATGCGTGCCACCCAGGCACGCCGTGCGTGGACCCCCAACACCCGAAAATTGATTTTTTCGCCCCGTTCTTCTACGTTTGGACCCCCGTTTGATTCCAAACATTAGTATGAACCTAATAACATCCTAATGATGTGTAAAAACCTTAGAAAATGTATCTTACATGGTGTATAAATGTAGGAACATTAAAGATCAATGGTAGGTGTGCGAGGATCCTCATCGATACCGGGGCACAACGCTCATTTGTGAGTGAGGCGTTCGCCGAGGGCCTTGACGTGCCATTGACACCTATGACGCAAACGTTGCTAGTCTCCACACCGTTAGGAGACGACGTGGAGAGAAATCATTACTATCCGTCGTGCGAGGTAGAAGTGACGGGTCAACCTTTGACTTGTGATTTCGTACCTCTAAGCATGTTGGAGTTCGATGCAATCCTAGGAATGGATTGGCTCGAGAAACACCATGCTCGAGTAGATTGCTACACCAAGGTGTTAGAGCTCGGGGACGATCAAGGAAATACACTATGTTTCGAGGGAGATCGGGGGAAATCTAATGCTTGTATAATATCCGTGATGAGAGCACGGAAGATGATGAGGAAGGGATGCCACGCATACCTTGCCTACGTGGTGGACGATACCAAGAAGGAAGTCGACATCAAAGATGTACGGGTCGTGTGCAAATACCCGGATGTCTTTCCCAAAGACCTACCGGGGCTTCCACCCGATAGAGAGATAGAGTTTGTAATTGAAGTGGAGCCGGGAACCAAACCCATTTCGATTCCTCCTTATCGAATGGCGCCGGCCGAACTCCAAGAGTTGAAAGTCCAACTACAAGAATTACTGGACAACGGGTTCATCAGACCCAGTCATTCACCGTGGGGAGCACCCGTACTCTTCGTAAAGAAGAAAGATGGTACACTAAGAATGTGTATCGACTACCGACAGTTGAACAAGGTCACAATCAAGAACAGGTATCCTTTACCTAGGATTGATGACCTGTTTGATCAACTTCGAGGGGCCATAGTATTCTCGAAGATTGACTTGAGATCGGGGTATCATCAGTTGAAGATCAAGGAGAGTGACATACCTAAGAGTGCATTTCGCACTAGATATGGTCACTACGAGTTTCTTGTGATGTCATTTGGGTTAACCAACGCACCAGCAGCATTCATGGACTTGATGAACCGTGTGTTTAGTGAATACTTAGATCAATTTGTGATAGTATTCATTGATGACATCTTGATATACTCCAAGAGCGAGGAAGAGCACGAACATCATCTGAGGCTTGTACTTGATCGGCTAAGGGAAAAGCAACTCTTCGCCAAGTTCTCCAAATGCGAATTTTGGCTCAAAGAGATTGGTTTCCTCGGTCATGTCATATCCGGTTCAGGTGTTGCTGTGGATAACGCCAAAATAAAAGCGATCATGGAGTGGGAGAGACCCAGGAATGCGAAGGAGATACGTAGTTTCCTTGGCTTAGCGGGATACTATCGTAAATTTGTCGAAAAATTCTCCGTATTGGCGTCTCCATTAACGAAGCTCACAAAGAAAGGGGCCAAGTTCATATGGGACGATAAGTGCGAGAAGGGGTTCCTTGAATTGAAGAAACGACTTACCGAAGCACCAATCCTGGCCCTACCCATACAGGGTATAGGGTACGACATTTACAGCGATGCTAGCATCCAAGGGCTTGGATGTGTACTAATGCAAAACGGTAAGGTGATTGCCTATGCTTCTAGGCAATTGAGGAAACACGAGGTGAACTACCCTACTCACGATCTAGAGTTGGGGGCGGTGGTGTTTGCATTGAAGATTTGGAGGCATTATCTCTACGGGGAGACGTGTCGCATTTATACTGATCATAAGAGCTTGAAGTATGTATTCACTCAGAAAGAGTTGAATATGAGGCAGAGGAGATGGATGGAGTTGATCAAGGACTATGACTTGATCATCGACTATCATCCCGGAAAGGCCAATGTAGTGGCCGACGCACTGAGCAGAAAGAGTACGTCGGGGACGCTACTCACATGTCTACGGGCATTGAGGGCACACGTGGAGGTATCCACGAGCGGGGCGCTCATTGCTAGGTTCGAGGTGAGGCCTACATTGCTGGGTGAGATCAGCAGATGTCAGGCCATTGATGAGGAATGTCAGAAGATCCGCGAACGGATCCTTGAGGGGCCCGTCGAGAATTTTCGGGTACGTGATGACGGTCTTTTGTTATTTAAGGACCGTGTGTGCATACCAAAGAATGAGGAGCTCCAGAAGTCTATACTTGAGGAGGCTCATTCTTCAGCATATGCTATGCATCCAGGAGGTACTAAGATGTACCGAGATTTGAAGGAAAGTTACTGGTGGTCAGGCATGAAGAGAGACATCACCGAGTATGTGAGTCGATGCCTTACTTGTCAGCAAGTTAAGGCAGAACATCAGCACCCGGCAGGGCTTTTGCAGCCGCTCACCATCCCAGAGTGGAAGTGGGAGCACGTGACCATGGACTTCGTGGTGGGGCTACCACGAACAGTGAACAACTATGATGCAGTTTGGGTAGTGGTTGATAGGCTCACCAAGAGTGCACACTTTTTGCCTATCAACATTACCTATCCTCTTGAAAGATTGGCCAAGCTATACACGGAGGAGATTGTGAGATTACATGGAGTCCCAATATCCATTGTCTCGGATAGGGATCCACGATTCACATCCCGATTTTGGCCAAAGTTTCAAGCATCGTTGGGTACTAAACTGAAGTTTAGCACAGCTTTTCACCCACAGACGGATGGACAGTCCGAACGGGTGATACAGATTTTGGAAGACATGCTTAGGGCATGTGCGCTGGAGTTCCAAGGAAGTTGGGACAAGCATTTGGCCCTAGTGGAGTTTGCTTATAACAACAGTTATCAAGCAAGTATCGGCATGCCCCCATATGAGGCATTGTATGGGAGGAAATGCAGAACACCATTGTGTTGGGACGAGGTTGGCGAGGCCAAACTCGAAGGTATAGAACTGGTTGAAATCACCAAGGCTAAGGTGAGGATCATTCAGGATAGACTGAGGGCTGCTCAGGACCGACAGAAGAGTTATGCTGACAAACGGCGGAGACCGTTGGAGTTCAAGGTCGGTGATGAGGTTTTTCTAAGGATTTCTCCTTGGAAGGGCATCATCCGATTTGTATCGAGGGGGAAGCTTAATCCCCGATACATTGGTCCATTTGAGATCCTCGAAAGGATTGGGGCCGTGGCCTACCGCCTCAAGTTGACGCCTGAACTTGAGAAGATACATGACGTGTTTCATGTGTCAATGCTCAAGAAGTACATACGAGACCCATCTCATATTCTTGAGAAACCACCGGTAGAGATCCGTGAGGACTTGCAATATGCAGTGGAACCAGTGAAGATTGTTGGTCAACAAGTGAAGAAGCTTAGGAATAAGGAGATTCCTATGGTAAAGGTCCTTTGGAGGAGTGATCGAGTCGAAGAAGAAACTTGGGAGACCGAGGTCTCAATGAGGGAGCAATACCCATTTCTTTTCGATTAGATACTTGGATTTCGGGGACGAAATCCCAAATAAGGGGGGGTGAACTTGTAACACCGTCCCCAAATATATTTACTTTTATGTAAATAATGTATCGAACCTTATTAAAGGATTAATGAATTTACGAAGTTGTAAATTTTTATTATTTCTTTCGCGTGAATAGAAAATTGCACGTGGGACCCACACCGGGAGTGGGGGCCGCCCGACATTCCCGAGACCATATATTTTATTCATCTTGGTCTAGATAATAAATATATAGTGGGGGATATTTCATTTGGGCCATGGAAAGGCCCAGAGTTGACCGATTGGTCAAAAGAAGCCCAAATTACCGGTACTGGTAATTTAACGGATAACAGTCCGAAAATGAATTTCGAAGACTTCCAAATTAAAGTTTTGGAATATATATTATTTCAAAGGGGCGTTATGATTGAGAACACATAATATATTTTATTTTTCCCGATAAAATAAAATATGATTAAAACAGTCCGAAAAATACAACTTTCGGGACCGATTGTACACACCGGGACACAAAGGGATGACCTCCCACATGAGTGGGGGCCACCCCACGTTTTTATATTCTCAAATTGACTAGATGAGGGCTGGTAGTACACTTGATGGGAGGGTGAGACAATTGGAGACATCAAAGGGGTCCCTCCCACCCTTATTAGCTCAATGGGACAAAAAGAACCCATCCCCCTCTTCCTTCATGATTGTACTCGACCAAAGCACCAAGGAGAGGCAAGAGAGAGCTCTCAAACCAGCTTCCATTGTTGCAGCACGAGCCCAAGGAAAAAGGGGTCCAAAGGAGAGGATTAAAGAGGGAAAAAGTGGGGAAAAGTGTGAATAATTAAGGTAATGACCTTATTATAACTTCTCCTTTATTTTTCTTCTACCATATGAGATATATATCATGTGAAGAATCCTTGAGAGGGTTCTACATGTTATAAGTATGGATTAATGGGTTGGAAAGTGATTCTATGTCCAAGAACGGACTTAGAAGCCAAAACGACCGGTTCACCGGAAAATAACCGTTTTGAGGTTATTTGTATTAATACGGGTTTTATGATTATAAAACCTTGTTAGGAACTTGTGAAAGGTATTTCAAGTGATTTCACAAAGTTGGTAAAGTCGCCGGAGTTGTCGCCGGAGTTGACCGAAAGTCGCCGGAGTTTCACCGGAGTTCAACCAAGAGGGGTAGAACTTCATAACGCTAGTTCAAGGTGAGTGGACAGCTTAATATCTTATAACTTTTGGGTTAATTATGAGATTACCTAAATAAATGTTATATGATTTCATAATGATGTTTAAAAGATATTTAAACATGTGATTAGCCAATAGGGTTAAGTTTGTATGAAAGAAATTAATTGTTGATGCATGGAATATGATATGAAGAATTATATGAAATGCATATTTGTTTGAAGTGTATTAGAAGCACAAATGAATATTATTAACTTAATTATATGATGATTAAGTTGATACACACAAGGCATGAAATGGCGGTCAACGAAAACGTGGACCGAAGAACAAAGGATTTAATTAATACCGGTTGGTATTAATTAATTATAAATCTATATAAATGCATGGTTTTGCATGGATTGTGATACATAAGATTTATGTATTGGATTAGTTATGAGTAACTAAGGATGATATAGACTCTATCTAGGTTGATAGGAGGTTGATCGTAGGAAAACTTGGTGGGGGACCCTAGTACTTAAAAAGTACTTAACACTCAAAATTTGGTGGAGGACCTAGTACTTAAAAAGTACTTAACACTCAAACTTGGTGGAGGACCCTAGGACTTAAAGTCCTTAACACTCAAACTTGGTGGAGGACCCTAGTACTTAAAAGTACTTAACACTCAAAACTTGGTGGAGGACCCTAGGACTTAAAAGTCCTTAACACTCAAACTTGGTGGAGGATCCTAGTACTTAAAAGTACTTAACACTCAAAACTTGGTGGAGGACCCTAGGACTTATGAGTCCTTAACACTCACAAACCGGTGGAGTATCCAAGGATTATGATCCTAAAACTCATAGATTGTGATATACAAGTAGGGACAAGGAGGAGTCCTATACACTCATAGGTATATGGGTGGGTTGGGGTTTTTAGTCAAGAATATTGACTATTACTATTTTTCCCAAATAAAATGGTGATCTACGGATCGTATATTTTCCAAGTATACATATACTAATAAGTATTTCATAACTTGGGGAAAGGACTATTTACTTAAGTATCACCCTATGTTTGGGTCTTATACTTGAAACGCTAGTTATTCTATATTTAGCCTGCTACTCGCTCGGTACTTGTACTGACCCCTTCGGGGGGCCCCACCATTTTCAGGTTGAAGCTAGGGCTTGCTACTTGCACCTTCTCAAGGGTGATATCAAATCAGGAAGACGTGGTTCGTGCTTCCTTATTTTCTTTCAAACTACCGAACACTTGCTCATGAATATTTGTTTTACTATAAACTATTTTTGGGGCTTGCATGCCCATGTTGTTGGCCGGTTGTGGCTCATGACGTACCGTTGAATATTTCCGCTATTCATTGGTTTGAATGTGATGTTGTTATGTATGTTTACTACTGAGTATGGATGGATTGTTTTTCTCGAACGCCTTGTGTAATTAAGTGAGGTTGACTCGTGGGTGACATCACTTAGTTATATGGCGGTTGTACACGCGCTTGGATTGCGGTCTGGGGCGTGACACAGTCATCGCCACTGCCACGTCACCGGTCAGTTTTTAAATTTTGAAAAATTGCAGTTTGGTCCCTCAATTTTTGAAAAATTATAATTTCGGCCTATAATTTTTCGAAAATTGTATTTTTACCCCGAAAGTGCCTACCCACCATTTTCGGCCGTTCCGGACGCAACGGTGCTGCCCATTTTTCGAAATTCTGCTCCAATTTTTCTGAAACAGAAATTCAAAATTATTTACAAGGTGAAAATGACCTTTGACGAGTCAACTTCATCTTCCGCAGCTATGATTATGCTCACGGCTACCAACTACACACTATGGAAACCTCGGATGGAAGATTTCCTTAGCTGTAAAGACCTTTTTTATCCAATAGAGATGAAAGGTATTAATCCTGACTCGGCCAAGTCAACGGAGTGGAAGAAAATTAATAGAAAAACTATTGGTCAAATCCGACAATGGATTGACCATAGTGTCTTCCACCATGTTGCACAAGAGACCGACGCTTATGCCCTTTGGAAGAAGTTAGAAGATATGTACCAGGTCAAGACCGCTAGGAACAAGGCCTTACTGATGAGGCGTCTTGTGAATATGAAGCTCAAAAGTGGAACTTCTGTTGCTATACATACTAGTCAATTTCAGAGTCTGGTAAATCAACTATCTTGTGTAGAAATGCCACTTGGAGATGAAATGCAATCTCTACTACTTCTTAGTTCCCTTCCTGATAGTTGGGAGACACTAGTGTTTACTCTCAGCAACTCAGCCCCAGATGGCAAACTTACCATGTCTGTGGTCAAGGATGCATTGTTCAATGAGGAGGCAAGAAGGAAAGACATGAGCACAGATGAGACTCATGCCCTTGTGACAGAGAATAGAGGAAGATCACAAGGAAAACAACAACGAAACAGTAGAGGGAAATGGCAAAGCAGAGGCAAAAGTCGGGGGAGATCATTAGATGGCTGGAAACCTTCTTATACCTGCCACCATTGCGGTATAGAGGGTCACATGAAGAAGAATTGCTACAAATTGCTAGAGGAGCGAGGCAAGAGCAATTCTCAAGCGAAGAACAAGGGTGGTGAAGCGTTCATCACAATCTCAGGTGACGTGGCGTATTGTACTATCAATGATGAAACATGCCTTCACGTCTCAAGAGAGGACACTGAATGGGTGGTAGATACTGCAGCATCCTACCATATTACTCCCCACAGGTACTACTTCACAACTTACAAAGCTGGAGACTTTGGAGCAGTGAAGATGGGCAATTCCAGTTCCTCTGGAATAGCTGGAATTGGTGATGTACAAATAAAGACGAGTAGTGGGAGCACAATCACTTTGAAGGATGTCAGACATGTTCCAGACCTTTGACTCAATCTCCTGTCAGTGGTATGTCTTGACGAACAGGGGTATGAAAACTACTTTAACAGGGGCACCTGGAAAATGTCAAAGGGCGTTTTGACAATCGCTCGAGGACATGTTTCTGGCACATGGTACAAAACCCATTTGAGGATTTGTACGGATAGCCTCAATATTGCTGAGGAGACTTCTCAGAATATGTGGCACCTGAGACTCGGCCACATCGGTGAGAAAGGGTTGACTACCTTGATGAAGAAGAACCTTATCAACATCGATAAGAACGCTGCACTGGCTCCTTGCAGTCATTGTTTGTTTGGTAAGCAACATAGAGTATCATTTAGTTCTACTTCAACTAAAAGATCGGAGTTGTTAAGTTTGGTACACTCCGATGTCTGTGGTCCTTTCGAGGTGGAATCAATCGGTGGAAGCAGATATTCTCTGACTTTTATCGATGATGCCTCTCGGAAAGTGTGGGTGTATTTCCTGATTACGAAGGATCAGGTGTTCGAGAGCTTCAAGACATTTCACGTCTTGGTGGAACGTGAAACAGGAAAGAATCTGAAATGTATCCGATCTGATAATGGAGGCGAGTACACATCCAAGGCGTTCGATGCATATTGCAGAGAATATGGCATTCGACATGAGAAGTCAGCACCACGCACCCCTCAGCACAACGGCGTTGCTGAAAGAATGAACCGGACTATCATGGAGCGTGTCCGGAGCATGCTGAATATGGCTAAACTTCCGAAGTCATTCTGGGGAGAAGCAGTCAACACCGCATGCTATCTTATCAACCGATCACCTTCAGTACCACTGAACTTTGAAGTTCCAGAGAGGCTATGGACAGGTAAGGATCCTACATACTCACATCTTAGAGTATTTGGTTGTTCATCGTATGCACATGTATCCAAAGAGCTCAGGCAGAAGCTCGATGCAAGAACTATCCCATGCATTTTCGTTGGCTATGGAAATGAAGAGTTCGGATACAGGTTATGGGATCCTAAAGAGAAAAAGGTGTTCAGAAGTAGGGACGTTGTGTTCCATGAAGATTTGACAATAGAAGACATTGAAAAACCCACAATGTCACGGAAGTCAAATGAGGGTGCTAGAGTTATAAATGAAGCACCAGAAGAGGACAAATAAGTGCATGAAGATAACTCAGAAGCAGAGGAAGACGAGGAGACAGAAGAGAATGCAGAGCAAGGGGAGACACAATCCACCCCGCCAGACACAGATGATGGTAGCTCTTCTCAGATGGTTCCTACTGTTCGTAGATCTGAACGAGGGCATATACCATCGACAAGGTACACATCATCTGAATATCTTTTGTTAACTGAAGATGGAGAACCGGAGAGTTTTCAAGAAGTTGTATCTCATAAGGATAAAGAAAAATGGCTAATAGCAATGCAGGATGAGTTAGAATCTCTGCAGAAAAATCAAACCTATGAGATTGTAGAACTTCATAAGGGGAAGAAAGCTCTGAGGAACAAATGGGTGTTCAAGTTGAAGAAGGATGCAAGCGGACAAGTGGTGAAACACAAAGCTCGGTTGGTTGTCAAAGGGTTCCAGCAAAAGAAAGGAATTGACTTTGATGAGATCTTTGCACCAGTTGTCAAGATGACCTCAATCCGAGTTATACTTGGCTTAGCAGCAAGTATGAACTTGGAGCTTGAACAGATGGATGTGAAGACAGCATTTCTTCACGGAGATTTGAAAGAAGAAATCTACATGCGGCAGCCGGAAGGTTTTGAGAACTCAAATGATAATTTTGTGTGTAAATTATCTAAGAGTTTGTATGGCTTGAAGCAGGCACCAAGGCAGTGGAATAAGAAGTTTGACTCTTGCGTGAAGAGTCAAGGCTACAAGAAAACTACTGCGGATGAGTGTGTATACATCAAGAAACTTCCAGACGGTACTTTCATTGCTCTTCTACTATATGTAGACGACATGTTGATCGTTGGGAAAGATGCAGTGAAGATAAACCAGCTGAAGAAAGAACTCTCTAAGTCTTTTGATATGAAAGACTTAAGACCGGCTCAACAGATTCTTGGGATGCAGATCACTCGAGACAGGAAGAATAGCAAGTTATGGCTATCTCAGGAGAAGTACATTGAACGAGCACTTGAGAGATTCAACATGAATGATGTCAAACCAGTAAGTGTTCCACTTGCGAATCACTTCAAGTTGAGCAAAAGAACATGCCCTACATCCGAGGAAGAGATCGGGGAGATGTCAACAGTTCCATATTCTTCAGCAGTTGGGAGTTTGATGTACGCCATGGTATGCACAAGACCAGACATTGCACAAGCAGTGGGTACAGTGAGTCGTTTTCTCTCTAACCCCGGGAAGGAGCATTGAGAGGCAGTCAAATGGATTCTCAGGTACTTGAAAGGTACCATGAACTTATGTCTTTGTTACGGAGGAGCTTATCCTGTCTTGGAAGGCTACACAGATGCTGATATGGCCGGAGATATTGATAGTAGAAAGTCTACTACAGGATATATCTATACTTTTGCAGGAGGAGCTGTTTCTTGGCAATCAAGATTGCAGAAGTGTGTCGCTTTATCTACAACAGAAGCAGAATACATTGCTGCCGCTGAAGCAGGTAAGGAAATGTTGTGGCTAAAGCGCTTTCTCCAAAAACTTGGGATCCAGCAGAAAGAGTACAAGGTACATTGTGACAGTCAGAGTGCTCTAGACTTGAGCAAGAATTCTATGTACCATTCTCGTACAAAGCATATTGACATTCGATATCACTGGATACGGGAGACGATTGATCAACAACTGTTGGGACTAGTGAAGATCAATACAATGGAGAATCCATCAGACATGCTGACGAAGGTGGTGACACGAGATAAGCTAGAGCTGTACAATTGAAGTGGCCTTGAAGTACACCATCACATTGCTTGTTCAATTTTGGCTTTGGAATACTTGTATAAATATTGTATAAATATGAAGGGGTTTAGTTGGTTTTTTAGTTTCTTCGAGAGAGAATCTTTGAGAATAGATTCCAGCTTGTTTGAGTGTAGGGCAAGTGCAGAGCTCTAATATTGTTTGGTTGTGGGACAGTTGCAAGCATAGAGATTTCCATATTGTTTTGTAAGAGTTATTTCATCCGCTAAAGTTATACTTCGTACGTAGTATAATTTTAAAAATTATATTATTTTACTACAATAATGTAATTTTATTGAGATTTACTACATTCACTATATTTACAATACATTTTAATGAATGTATCTATCTACTACCAAATATTTGTTTTTTTTGCAAAGTATGTCTAAATAATTACTCGATATGTATTAATTATTCTAATTAAATAGCCTTAACTATGGAAATATATACGATCATATTAATGTTGGTTTAAATTCCCATATGCATTAGATAAATAATAGTCTCAATATTCATGCATGTTATTATATTGTAGAGGAACATAATTTCCCATCCATTTAAATGGAACCAAATGCTGTGTACACGAAGAATTGTTGTAGCTTCAAGAGAATAATTGGATCACCATTTTTAAGAGTTAGGTATA